TTTTTAATGATAAAAAGATATAAATTAAAAAAAAAAACCTTTTTTTAAAGACCCATCCTACCTTCGTCAAAGTGGAAAGATACCCACACAGTCAGTGGTGTGTAGGGATGGCAACGGCTCCCCACGGGGGCAAGGACCCCCTCTTCATCCCCATCCCCACCAATGACGGGTACAAGGATTCCTGTGGGGATTTTTAGCGAAAGATCAAAAATTGCTTTCGTTCCCATACCCATAGGTAATAATAGATCCCCATGGAGAATAATAGGTCTCCATGGGTATTCGAAATCCTCGCTAAGTAAAACTATCACCTATTCCACTGCTTATTAATAAAAATTTTCACTACTTGTTAATCAAAATTAAGCTCAACATGGCTCTACTTAGACTCCACCGGTTTCCACATTCATCAAATAAAACTAACTCAAATAATCATATAAAGTAAAATTTTGAAATAAGATAAACAAGCAGTAAATATACACAATAACACAGTCAATATATACATGTCATTGTCAAGCAAGTCCAGCAAGTAAGCCAGCAACAAGTTCATATTTCATAACGAAAAAAGGCATAAACTGCCATATAAATCCAGCAAATCCAACAAAAGGTTTATAAAAAATAAAAGCATAAATTGCAACTGTCATATATGTCTAAATTCAACAAAGTTGATAGAAAAAAAAAAAGCATAAACTGCTGCCATACATGTCTAGCAATAAGTTCATTAAGAAAAAGCACATAAAGAGTCTAGGAAGTGGCACATGCGTACATATCCATCCAATCCAGCAAGGCAAATTCTACAGTAGCAACTTAAGCTAAGCTTGATCAATAATTTCAAGTTAAGGAAATAACTACCTGAAACAAAAACAAATACCCAAAATTAACAAAATTTTAAAAAAGAATCTTCAAATTTTTAAAACTATAGCTTCAAAAACGGCATCTAATTGATACCTGGAGTTGGATAGTTTGAAAAGAATTTGAGGTAGAGCTGTAGAGGAAGAGGCCACACGACAACAGAATGAGGACGACCCAGCCTTGGAGCTGTAGGTAAGCGGTGGTGAGTAGTGAGCGTTGCAAACTTGTAGTGGTTGTAATGACGGCACGGTGAGAGGTTGAGAGCTTGAAGGGAATCACCAAATTATAGTTAAGATGGCCACACGACAGCAGAAAGAGGACAACTCAGCCTTGGAGTTGGAGGTGAGCGGTGAGCGTTGCAAGGGTTGTAGTGATGGCACGGTGAGAGGTTGAAAGCTTGAAGGGAATCACTGAATCACGGTTGAGATGGCCACACGACAATAGAAAGAGGACGACCCAACCTTGGAGTTGGAGGTGAGCAGTGAGCGATGGTGAGAGGTGAGCAGTGAGTGGTGGTGAGCGGTGAGCATTGTAGTGGTTGTAGTGACAGCACGGTGAGAGGTTGAGAGGTTGAAGGGAATCACCGATTCACCAATTCATAGTTGAGATAAGGACAGAGAGGACTGAGCAAGAGTTACAGCACAGAGCGTGCGCGGCAGAGGAGAGGAGATTGACTGGAGAGAGGATAGGAATCGCAATTTGAAAGCGGCAAGCAAAGAGACTAAAATCTTTGGATAATTGGATTGTCCTTCTGCTTCTAGGGTTATGTAAATTGGGCTGTAAGTTGGGCTTGGCAATTAGGTTTAGGAATATTAGATTGACAAAAAAAATGGGTTGGCTTACAATTAGGTTCGGAAAAATTGAAAAAAGAATGGGTTGTGAAATTTAAGTTATGTTGATATTGGGTTAGCTAATTAGATTGGGTAAGTAAAAATTAATTGCTAACATATGTGCAAAAATATATATATACATAAATAAATTTATTTTTTTTTATTTTATATAGATCCCCACAGTTCTCCACGGAGTGGAGGAAATTCCCTGCGAAATTTCACGAGGAAAAGATTGCCTCCATCCCCGCTCCACGAGAAGGAATATTATTGAAATCTCCATCCCCATGGCAGGGATCTCTGTGAAGCTCCGCAGGTCACGGAGAAAATTGCCATCCTTAGTGGTGTGTTCAAGCTTCAAACCAAACCCAACCACCCCTTTTTTTTTTTAACAGACCCAACC